GCTTGTGGAGTCTGTGGCAAGTGGGGGCAGGAAAACCACATCCATATGGTAAAGCAGCTCCTGAGAGCCCCATTTTTTCCATAAGCATCTACCCCCAACAACAACGCCAAATACCTCATCAGCACACTCACACATCGTTAGCTTCATAGCATAAGTGCCTAAGTCATTTTTTTGTGTTTTCGGAAAACAAGACAAAACTAATTTTCTAAATATCACATGCATATTTTTAAATATCACATGCAATTTGACCAAAAAATGACTTAGGCACTTATGCTATGAAGCTAACGACATATACACACTTGGGATTTATAGGAAAACAGGTTGAGGCTGAGCTTCTCCAGACAGTCTTTACCCCCCACCTTCATCCCTGGTCTCATTCACAGAAGCAAAGCCACAGTCTGCGTCAGCTCTTTTTTTATGCAAATGCCTGCTCTTGATCTTGATCACCTTTTGATTGTGTTTTACTTTTTCTCATTTCAACACAGGGCCCCCCTGGTCCACATGGAAACCCTGGGAGACCCGGTCCACCTGGATTCAAGGTACACATCTAGTCTAACCTCTGGTCCTGCCTGATCCAGCCATGTCGATTTTCCCATATGAAGTGGTTACACGATTGGGTTTGCCTATACTGCTATTTTACTATGATGTAATGTGAATCATAATCCCATGAGAACATGTTAGATTTACATTTTTCTATATCAGCTGGAAACCCCTACAAAGCAAAACGGTAATGGAGTTTGATGGCAGAAAAATAAAGGAAACTTCAGTTCACAGCAGGGCTGCAAGTACCTGGCAGCTGGAGTACAGAAGCTGTTTCACTTTAGCATGTGTGCTGAAGAGATCAATGTTAGGATTCCCATTTATACTTGAATTGTTCTGCAGACTTTTGCAAGCGACTGAGGTTTTTATGTTGAAAGGTCTTGAGGTCTTTAAGGAGAAAATATATAAATATATGTATATATAATATTTTCTGCATTCCTGATGTAATGGATTTATGCCTTTGCAAATACCCTTAACCTCTGACATTGTGTGCTTACATGGTAGAGTGAGGGCCTGCACCTAAAGTGCATTATGAAAAAAAATGGAAACTTTTCCAAACCTTCAAGCTATTATCATACCCTATTATTTATTGATTGCACTCAGATTTGTTGCTTTCCAGCTGAGAGGTAGATTGGAAGGGCGATTTCTCTGCAGTGTAAGAAAGGCTGCTGGCTGCTGGTTAGCATGCTTAATAACAACACTGGAAACATAAGCAAACTGTTTAAAGAACCTCTAAGTCTCATGAGTTACAGATAAGGTCAGGCATACGCAAACACGATGGAATGATCAGCAGCAAAGGTTTAATGAGAACTTCGGTATATTGTGAGACAGACTGGTGTGGGCCAAGCCTCTTCTTCCTGGCAAGTGTGTTGAAAGAAAGATTATGGAGTGTTTGATGTCTCGGGGTGCACCACAATCTTCGTTCTTTCATCATTAATAAACGAGACAGAGTTGTAAATGGCAGGGGTCCGAAGGGGAAAGAGAGGGAGTCAGCACTCAGTGTAATTTCCGATCCGTGGCTTTGATGTGCTGAAACCCCATTATTGTTACCTGCTGACAATGAAGCTTGGTGTGTGTGTGTGTGTGTGTGTGTGTGTGTGTGTGTGTGTGT